TAATCTAAAAAGTTCATTTTTTAAATATTCCTGCCATATGACAGGTAAAAAATTAATACAGGTCTTGAGATGTCATGATTTTGTAAGACATAAATAAACATGTTTTATGATTTTTAAAAATTAGCATTAATAGAGGAAAGGACACACTATCTTTCATTAAGTATTGGGACAGAATTGCCGATTTTAGCCTTTTAGCATTAACTTCTGTTAATTTAAAATATATTTAATTTTTTGAAGAAGAAACCCAGGGCTGCATTTTTCTAGGTTCCAAGAATTTTCACTATAATTTGAATTTAGTCTTATTTTTTAAAACATTTATAGGTTTTCAATTTTATTGATATCAATGTATGTAAAAGGTACAAAAAAGACTTAATAGATCAGAACTTTTTTGTTAATATAACTATCTGATAAATACCAAACTAGATCCTATTCTTATTTTAATTCAATTTGCTGTCAAATTTAGTGAAATGTATTTATCCATATTCCCATTTCAGTACATATAATAGACTAATTACTAATTTTATTTTATTAAAGATCCTCATAGCTCATGAATATAATATTTATTATGTTCATAATAAGCTATGCTTGATTTAGCAGCACTTTTATGCTATTATTTATTTCATATGCCAGCTTTTTGTAATTAATGAAGTATTTGGACTTATTTACACCATCACATTTTGTATATTTGTCATATTTTTCTTTTTATTCTCCCTTTTCTGTTTTCTTTTAGAAATTAATACTTTTTACTTTAGTCAGTAATTCTTAAAGTCTGCCAACATATTTACCAATTATTTTGCTCATCTTTGTTTCTTTCATACTACCAAATCCTTCTAGAATCAATTATTTTTCTTACCAAAATATAACCTGGAGTAGTTTTTTTAAGTAAAGGTCTGTGAGTGGTAATCACTCATACATGGTAGTTTCTCTGGGCACAAGATTTCCTCTCAGCCTGTTTGAAGTATGTTGTCTCAATTGATGAGAATTCTATTGTAAGTCTAACTTTATTGTTTTATATGCAACCTAGCTACTTTTTCTGGTTGCTTTTAGATTTCCTTTCTTTGTGATAGTCTATATTTTTACAATGTGAATATTAAAATAGCATTTGCTATGCTTCCTAATTTGAGGATTAAAACTTTCCATTAATTTTGGAAAATTTCAGTCACTATATCTTTCACCACTGCTTGTCTTCTATTTTTTCTCCTTCTGGGATTGTAATATATATATGCTTGTTATATATATATATATATACACACACACACAAACACACACATATATACAATATATGTGTATATATGTAATATATATATATACATATGTAATATATATGCAATAGATGTATACAAATATATATATGTATACAGACCAAATACAGATCTGAGAGTTTTATTTCTTAGGATAACTTTATATTTTTCATCCAAAGCCCAGAACAGATAGTAAACTTCCTGGCTTTTTCCACAGCTGGTGAGCACAAGTATTTTGTTTCCCTTTTCATACCCGAGGCAGCCCTTTCAGGTGTGAGTGCCATCGTATCAGTCCCACTTCCTTAACTAGACTCAGGGATGAATCGCTATAATTATAGACATCAAGACATCAGGCCCTAGAGTTTAGCCCAAGTATTTTTACACTCAGTGCATCATGACAGCATCAGTTTTCACTTACCACTATGGCTTTTATTTCTTCACTTTTGGCATTTGTGATGTTTAGTTGGGTTGTTTGTTTGTTTCTAGCTTGTTTACTCATGTTTATAAAAAAAAAAACCTCAGCTTTTCTTCTTCCCCAACCCCACATTTTATACCCAAATTTAATTTATAAGTAGGGAAAGAGGCCTAGAGAAAGAAGGCCCAAAGACTAACAACACAATAAAGATACTTCTGAAAATACCACCGCCTGATTCATTGAACTTTTTCTTCTAGTAGTTCTTAATTTTTAGAATAAGCAAAGATTACCAGAGAAATCATTGAAAATACAGAATTCAGAATCCCTCCCATCCACAGAGATTCTAATTCATTATTCTGAATGAGAATTCAGGAATATAAATATTAAGTACCCCAATTAATTCAAATATTTGTAGCTTGATTCATTTACTGACTTCAGAGCATAATCCAAGAGATTAAAAACAAACACACCCCTGACATGCGTTTTTTTTACACTTGTAATTTATACTTTTCTATTGAAAGCAGAGTAAAGAAAAAAAGTCTACTTAATCAAGGGTTCTACTTATCTTGTTCATAATAAAAATTGATAAAGCCTCCTATTTAGTTGTTAAAGATACCTTTTCCTAAAATGTATTTATTTATAAAAATTTTGTTGAGCTAAATCTTATTTTAAAATGATATTATGCAGCACTGCAAAGATCCTGACATTATTTGGAAACTTTCTGCCATGATGATTCTGTCTCAGGAGAAATTAGAGAATTCCATAAAATTACCTAGGCATAATTCATAGAAAGCTGAGTCAAGAAACAGGTGTTATTGTTGAAATGATGAACTTGTCCTCTTCCTCACTCATAAATTTCTAGGATATGAGCCCATAAACTCTAAATCAGATGCTAAGCTCACATAGATTTATGTCATTTATTTCCTTTCACTGAGAAAATAAAGAGGTAGATGATCTATGTTTATCTTGCCAGCTGTTCCGCAAACCACATGCATTGAGTGCAAGTATCAGCAGAGATGCCAATGCTTCAGTGGCTCCAACTTACACATGTCCCAGCACCTGGCTGATGGAAGCCACTCTTGAAAAATATTTGCATCTGTGTGCTATGAGCTTGGCTATAATGCTAGCTAGCATTCCATTTCCAGATGGCTCCCATTACCACCTAATTATTTTAAACCCTGATTTTATTTCAAACAATTTACCATTGTCAAGGGTCACCTCCCAGTACAATATTGCTGAGATCAAATATTTTTGGTTCTAGGTCTATGGTTACAAGAGTTCAGGAAGGGCCTTTTTTAGCGTGATGGATAGACCATTCAGCAAAATCCATGGATAAGCTATAAATCAGATATTAAAATTTTAATAAAACTATATGTAATTTTATAACAATTATTCAAAGTCACAACTATCATTTATTTTGTTTTAAATTTCTATCCTGATAAACAAGTTGAAAAGAACCAAATAAATCTATTCATTCATTTACTTATTCATTTATCAATTCTTCTAATATTTATTGAGGGCATTTATTGAGGGCATCTCAATAAGATGAAAAAAACAGTTTGACTCTTCCTCTCAAATATTTGCACTCTAGTAGAAAAGGAGAAAATTATGACACATTGTCAAAATCTTGTAAAAATACATGCAGAAAAGCAATATGTATTACATGGCAAGAGTTGAACAAAGTTCTAAAGATTCTTATCTCCTTTACATTTTTAGGTTATCTTTTCTAGTCCTAATATTGATTGAAGCTATTGGATTTGAGGAAAAGGAAATAAGTCTGAATTTGGAATTGGATACAACTCATTAGTCTGATCAATTATTTTTAAGTTTCAATTTATTATAAGACATAGCACATTCATACAATTAACACATTCTACATTCTGTAAGGATATTGTTTACCTAGTTGTGATCACTTTGGGCACCAGTTGTTGGATCTAACAGCCAAGGTAAAACTAGCACAATTACATATGTTGTGTTTATATAATGCATAGACACAGTAGCATGAGCATTTTTTTTTAACACAAATTTAAGAAGGCCTCAAAAGAATTTGTTGAAAATGATGAAACCCACCTTCCAATTGAGAGCTTATGTATGTTTAAATACATGGGAAGATTGTGGGTGAGGGAGTGTAAGTGTAGGAGCATTTTTTCATAAAAGTTCTGGACCACTATTAATTTTTTCAAATTTGGGGGTTCTTTTCTTTGTGTCCCATGCTGTTCTTTCCTAGACCATTTTACTTAAGAGTCCTTGCATTAAGGATCTTCCATAATACTCTCTTTGCTTTTGTAGTTGCTTAAAGTACATTCTACTTTCTGAGTCTTCGTCAGTTGTTTTCTGTGGAAGGTGTCATTTTCCTCAAATGGAATCTGTAAAGTGTCCCTGTATTTTTTTCTTATATGTGCTCTGTGTCCCTCCTCTCACCTGAGCACTCTGATTTTTACTAATAATCCCTCTGGCCACATAAGCCTGTGGCTACAGAAGTAGGATAATGGCAATTTAAAATGCCTTTTAACCTGGAAGTGTAATTTCTTGGATTTCCCCAGGGTGCAGAATCATGATGCTACCTGTGTAATGTATTAGGTATTTCTGGTGATAATGGCTCAGGAGAATTACTAATTAATCACTTCACGCCAATTATCATAAGGGCTACATTATACTATACAATTGTTATTTTTTGTAGGCTACCATTAGGAAAAATATAAATTTTTACATGTTATTATTTTAAAAGTTGATGTTATTTCTATATAATTCAGACACTAACCTCTCAACTTGATTGCTGATTCCTATATCTCACAATGTCAATGAACCCCTGGAGAGCATGCGCAGAGCTATGCCATAGCATTGTGATCCATTCTTCGTTATTATTATAATTCAGTGACTTAAATCAAGAACCATATATTCTGTGTTTGTCTTGACTTATAGTATTAATTTGTTTCGTGAACTTAGAACAGTTCCTACATAAGTTTATTCATTTAACCCATAAGGATAATTTCATATATAATAATCAGCTGATCTTAACATACTTTGAAATTTTTTAATAATCACAAGTCATCACTGATATAATTCTACACTATTTATAGAAGATTCATATTCTAACTAAACAGTGTATGTTGATCTTTAGGAAGAATAATTAATTCTTTTCAGAAAGTTAATTTATGGGCCTCTGCACCACAATGAAAATGTCATTGAATGAAGCCTTTAAGTATAGCTTAGCTTTGTATGTTCTCCCTAATCTAGTCTGAAAGTTTTGCAGAAGTTGCTTAATTCTATGGAAGTGAAAGACCTTGATTGCGGATTTCCTTTGGGTAAAAGCAATTTGTCAGTAAATGGTAGTGTCTACTCACGTTTATCTTGTTCTGCTTCCACCCCTTCACTTTCTGTGTCACTTGGCAAGATCCACGGTTGATGAACTACTTGTAGTTGCTTTAAGGATTCATCCTGCCAAAGAAAAGATTTCTTTTAGATTAAACTCTATTTTGATATCATGAACATTAAGATGGGTGATCACTTCAGTCTCCATGAATTGCATGTTCAAAAACCACAGGAATAATTTCCCCACAGCAAAGTAGAACTCTTAAGTTTAAAATAATTTTCATGTCATAGACATACTGCAAACTATGAACTCATTTTTTTACATTCTTCTTTTAATGAGATTTAAAGTCTTAATAAGAAATAGCTAAACTATGTTCTTCCTGAATTAATATTTTTATAGCAATGTTGACATTCACGCTTGGGAATATAATCATGAAATATTCAATATAAAATTTCATAACATGTCCCTCTTTGGTATCAAGGTTTCAAATTCCCTTTAATGAGAATGAAGATTAGGAGGATTTAAAAAACATGTTCAATTTTACCCTCATTAGGACTTTGCTGCCTCCTTCCTCTTCTCATTTTCTTACTTTTGTTAAAATAGTTCTCACATACTTCCTTGCTGCTCTTTGCCTTCTGTCATTCACCTAAAGGAGACTCTCATCCCCCATTCTAACTGTAATAATAGCCATCTAGGAAGTTTTCTAGGATCTAGTTTCATACCTACGTTAACTCTCCCACCAGTCACCTGACAAAGTGAGCTTTTTCAGACGCTGTATGATGTAATCATTATCTTGCTCATAATCCTTCAGTGGCTCTTTCATTATTCTCAGGATGAAAGTTAAACTCAAGACTCTTCACGATCCATACTCATCTAGCCTGATCTATCACACTACCCTTTCCATCTCCTCTTTCACCACTCCAACTATAATTAAATGGTAGCTCCTTTATTTTATCATACTCTGTAATCTTCAAAGATGTTTTACAGTACATTTTCTTATCTGTCTCAAACATTAACCCTCCTCCTCAAAAGAGCAGGGGTCGCCTCTACTGGAAGCTTTCTCTGATCCTCTAAGGCAAAATTACTCCTCTATTCATTTATGTACCCATTGTACCCATGTAATAATTACTGTATATTAATTATCCTTTCTTATCTTCCTGCTTTAATAATAATATACATTCTCAACATCTGTTATAGTGCCTGGCAAAAAATGGGACTCACCATGTAAACATTTGTACAGGAAGAAGAAAGAAGACAAGAGAGAGGATGAAGTTGAGAAAGGAAGGATGGGGGAGTATGAATCTCTACTATAACAAAATATGCAACAATTTTAACTTTATTGAACCATGACTCAAGAAAATCTTATCAAACTTATTTTAAAAATTAAAATATAAAATGTAAATGATCTGTCAGTTCATTCTTTTGATCTCTCAGATTCATTCATCTTTACCCTCTTTCAATGATCCTTTCTCCAACTTAAGATATTTTGCTTTATTTTTATTCAGACAAATACTAACAAGATAAAAATAAAGACTCACAACCACTGATCTTTAAGAAACATGACATCACTGAACATTAAATGTCCACTTTGCTTAAAATAGTTCCTGTGTGAGAAAAACATCCTATCTGGCATCCCTTAACTTTTGGTGGCAATATCTGGAAATGTTCAGTTCCTATCTAGACTTTCAATAAGGCAAAATTTTTTGAGGATTTTGGGGGTGGGATGGGGATTGAATCAGTGAAGCACAGGGGATATTTCTGGGCAGTAAAACCATTGTATATGACATTATAGTGGTAAATACAAGATATCAAGAACTCATCAAACCCATAGAATTTTATATAACAGCATAAACCTTAATGTATGCAAATGAAAAACATCAATTAGTAATTTAGGGGATCCCAATGATGGAAGGCAAAATACTAATAAAAGGTATGAATACATGATAGATTTATGAAACAACCTTGCTGAAGCAGGGTGAGAAAATAAGATGCTGACTTAAATAACTCTGAAAATGAGTGGAATTCATAAGACCAAAGGTTAAAGGAACCATACATGAGAACTGCACCCTAGTTGATAAAGGCGTTTCCCATGGGCATGCAAGTTAACAGTTCTGAAACTACTCTCCATATATTCTGCCAATGAACAGGTGAATAGATGGCAGGTGGTGGGAGTCAGTCTTCTCCCTGCTAGCATGGGAGTTTACAGATAAGCAGGGGAAGGAGGCCAGAATGATCCACGTGTAATGTATTAGAGCTGAAGATGTCAGTATGAACTAATGTTTAGCTTGCTGTATATACCGATTGCTACATATAGAAATAATTATATATATTCTATATTTAAGTTATTATATACACATATATTAATATTTCTCTGGTCTGGCAGCTGAGATGCCTTAGAAGCAATGACAATCAGAAGCAACAACACTCAGAACAAACATACCTACCACCCAGATCTCAGTTTCTAGTACCATTATTCAATGAAAGAACTGGAGCTTTGGGGGAAACAATTGATTCTAGGACTGAGGAAGGAAATATACAGGATAAGCTGGAGCATCTTGTAGTGCCAGAAAGCAAGACAGTGGTCACACACACACACACACACACACACAATGATGGGGTTTGTCAAACGGATAAAGAAGCTAACTGAAAAAGCTGTCAGTAGCCAAAGCTAGAACAATTTGAGCAACAAAATAAATAAGGCATCATTGGATCATTACTTAAATATAAAATAAATATCTATGAGTCCATATTGATAAAAATAAATGATTACATAAATGAGTGGATGAGAATAGGTAAATCTGCATGCAGGCAGATTTCAAATAATTTTTATAGATACTCTACCTTTAAGGAAGTAGAGAATAACTACCCACTTCTTAATTGTGGACAATGTATAGTGACAGAGTATGGAAAGGGAGATTTTTAAAAAAGTGACTTTACAGTAGAAGAATCTAGCAAACACTACCTCAAGCCAGGTGACCAAGTTCAACAGCAGTAAGTCGTACTGATAAGAGATGTGTCTTTCATAGGATGTGATGAAAATGGAAATTTACCTCTATGGTCTTCCTCCTAAAAATACATTATCCCAGTCTAATCATAAAGAAAATATCAGACAAATATCAACTAAGGGACAGAATATCAAACCAGTACTTTTCAAAACTGTTACATTCATCAAACACAGAGAAAGCCTGACAAAGAGTCACAACCAAGAAGAGCCTACGGACATATAACTATTAAATGTGATGTGACATCCTGGATGGAACCCTGGAACAGAAAAAGGACATTTGGGAGAACCTGTGGAAAGCTAAGTAAAGCATAGATTTAGTCACTAATAATGTATCAGTTTTGGCTTGTTAACTGCAACGACTGTCCTGTACTAATATCAGGTACTAGTATTAGTTAATACTGGATAAGATATGTAGGAGCTCTCTGCATTATCTTTTCAATTATTCTGTAGATCTAAAACTATCCAAAAACATAAGGTTCATTTTTTAAATTGAAAGAAAACAAAAAATTTCAAAACTCATTTTTTTTTTTTAATGAAAGCATGTCATTTTTAGCACCAGCAGCTCCTAAAAATGGTTTCTTAATTGGATTAAAACTTAAATTCCTACCATATGAGAGATGAGCTCCACAGTGAAAAGTCCTTGCCCCGGGTATCAGGAAGCACAGTTTTTTATCCTGGTTAATCTAGGGCATGTTACTTTTCCTCTTGGGATGGAATAGGGGAGGAAGTGCTGGATTAGATGATCTCTAGTGATCTGCAAGTGGTAACTGTCTAGTTTGGTCCAGAGTCCTTTAGACAGAAGATGTGAGAGACACTAGGCTACTGTAGGGAAAGTTAGCCCAAAAGTAAATAAATATACTCAGTCTTGGAATATACCATTTGGATATAAGTAAGTGTTCATTGTTGGTATTTATCTTAATTTTTTAAAAAAAAATTATCAATTATTGGATTTGGCCTTGCAGAGCTACATCATATAAGCAGCATAAATGTGAAAAATCTTAGCTCTAAAATTTCATAACAGTATAGAAGATGGCAGAAGTAAAATTTCAAACATTTTCATGAAACAGAGAGGGAAATTATGTTTCTGCAGTTTTTTTTAAAAAAAATGGAATACAGTCTCTGATGTTTAAAGAAGAAATATGAAAAATAGTCGCTTTAATGATGTAAGGTGAAATCAAATGGCGGAAGTAATTCATTTTAAACAAAAGTTCATCTCTGTGTGGTTTTCTTTAGCTGTTGTCCACACTAGTGACATTTGGGAGTGTTTCAGAGGCCTGGCCACAGAGAGTCTGTGGAGGCAGTGGAGGTGGTGCAGTTTGCAGGGGGTGGGTTTGCCTAGATCTCTCAGGTCAAGGGTGTGTGTGCACCTGGTGGGGTAGCCCACTGGAGGCTGGGGCTGGGGCTGTAGGCTTATTACTCTGGCCAAGAGCTCAGGAAAAAGTAGAACAGAGGATACAAGAGTCTGAGAAGGGGGGGATAGGAAGAGATTGATAAAGGATACAAAATTAAAGCTAGATAGGAAGAGTAAGTTCTAGTGTTCTATAGCTGCAATCTCCAACATCCCCCACACCCACACAGCAGGAGCTGAGCAGCTGTCTAGCAAGGTAAGGAAACTTCACCTGTATTTACAGCCACTCCCCATCACTCATGTCACCACATAAGCTCCGCCTCCTGTCGCATCAGCAGTGGCATTAGATTCTGGTAGGAGCACAGAACCCTACTGTAAACGGCGCATGCGAGGGATCTAGGTTGTGTGCTCCTTATGAGAATCTAATGCCTGATGGTCTGAGGGGGAGCTGAGGTGGTGATGCTAGCGCTGGGGAGCAGCTGCAAATACACATTCTCATTAGCAGAGAGGGTTGACTGCACAATAAATGTAATGCGCTTGAATCATCCTGAAACCATCCCACTCTCCCCACCCTACCCTCAGTCCATGGAAAAATTGTCTTCCATGAAACTGGTCCCTGGTGCCAGAAAGGCTGGTTACTGCTGTTCTATAGCACTGTAGGATGACTATTGTTAACAATAATGTATTATAGAGTTTGAAACAGCTAAAAGCATATTGTTTCCCAATACATAGAAATGATAAATGTTTGAGATGATGGTTGTGCTAATTACCCT